AAATATGCGAAAATCAATGTAAATCGACGAAATATACACTTTTTCTCTAAAATTATCGAAATATGCAAAATATGCATTTTTAATTTTCAATTTTTAAACTCAACATTGTATAGCTCGGATTTCTAGCTTGGTCTGCTATAATTTGAAAGCATACAGAACAATATGTAACTCCTATAACTTCCGAAGCCTATTTATAAGCTATATAGTATACAATATTATTATTATTATTTATTGGTCTTAAGTTAATTAATAATTTCTGCTTCGACAACAAAGGCTAGCATTACATTTAATATCAYGCAAAGAAAAAAAATATACGAGATTTACAATATTATTATCTACCTATAAAATTAAAATTATAGTTAAGTATGTACAGATATATTATATTTCAATACATTTACCTACATATCCTGTAACCTGAATGTAACCTGGCTCTGCGTAATCTTCTTCTAGCATRCATGCACTCTTTTTGGAGTTTTGAAATCTCTGACGACCACCAGTAGCATGGCTTCTTCCCCCAATTATATTATGTCCCATTCAGCAAACAGCTATTGCACATACTACTAAGGAGTTTGGAGCACTCTCTGGAGTTATTTTCCGCCGCTGGTGCTGCAGCATTCATGATGAAAGAGTCTAGTTTTTCTACATTAATTTTCYTCCAGGCCCATCAATTGCTTGCTGATTGATGACTTCTAGCCTCTGCTTTTAGATTGAAAAACACGTATATAACTACCTACCTACTGTTATAGATTCTAACCTCATTAATTATAGAAATTATTGATATGAAATAATTAGATTTTACGATAACAAAAGAAATAAACACAATGGGTACACTATATATTTTATACCCGTATGTATATATAGAAGAAATTAAAAAATTCAATGCAAAATATTGCAAAAAACACTGTTTTATTGGCTTCTTGTTAAAGTTTTATGTTAGAAAGAACTTTTTTGATAAACTGTTTTACAGCTTTACTGTTAGGTAGTATCTTATTTATTTTCATTCTTTTTAAAAGAAAATTATGCAAATAAGCAAAAGTGGTTGATTTGTTTTACAGCACAAGTTTTAATTAAAAACAAAAAAAAAAAAATAAGTACAGTCTATTTTTTTGGTGAACTTAAGTGAATACTATAATTTTAAATAATATCAATGTAGAAGATTTATTATCAAATGTTATGAATCGCAATACATTATTGTAAAGTATTTGCTT